TAATAGATATCACAAACGACAGCTGATAAACTTTGTTTACTTATAATTTATTAAGTTACTGGAAGAAAAAAGTAATACCACTATCCTCTTTAAGAGTGTGAAATGTGGAGCTGGAGAGACGGCTCAGAGATTAAGAACACTGGCTGTTCTTCCAGAAGACCCAGGTTTGAATCCCAGCACCCACACGGCAGCTAACAACTGTCTGTAACTCCAGTCCCAGGGGATCTGACAGCCTCTTCTGACCTCCGCGGGCATTGCACGACATGGGTGCACTTACCTACATGCAGGCAACACTCATACACATAAAATAAAAAGAATACATTTTTTTTAAAAAGAGTGTGAAATGTACATAGAGCACCTGAGCGTCGAAGAAGGAAGAGCAGGAGACCAAAGCACTAACTTTAACTGGGCACCAGCTGGGTGCCAGCTGCCTCGCACATTTCACAAGCCTTCTGGGAAACAGGGATTATTTCCACTTTGCAGATGAAGAAAATCAGAGGTCAAAAACCATTAGCAACTTCCCTATCATCATGAAAATAATGAATAATAGAACACGATTATAGCCTGTCTGTCTGATTCCACTGCCCACAACTCACAATGTCATGAGCCACTTATTTCCTCCAGCATTTTGGTCATCTTAAATATACTTCATTGTACTAAGAGGTTCATTTTTATATCACATCACAAAACACAGAAAAACTAAAAAATAAAACATGGCTGTCCTTTAAGAGTTTAAAATCTTTTCAACAAAATGCACGCATTTTGTACAAGTTAAGAAACATAAACCAATGGTTGTCTCTTAAGGGATGCAGCCACTGAAATGACACAGGAGCTAAGAGAAGTCTGGCATCTGGATGTTTTCGGCAAGTAGGGAAGGCCTCAGGGCAGGTGCACAATGGCAGCCCTACCCTGGCAAATGCTGGACAGGTCTGAGGAAAGGGTACTCTGGGATGAGGAAAGGCTGGTTCAGGGTGACCATGATGGATCTGAATAAGCATGAACAGACCAGAATGACTGCTCCAAAAGGTGCAGGTCTGAGTAGAGAGAAGCTAAATGTTCATCCAGTGCTGAATGGACCAACAAAATGTGGCACAGCAGTCCCTCCTTACCCAAGATTCTGCTTTCTGGGGTTCCAGTTACCCATACTCAATCACTGTCTGAAAATATGAAATGGAAAATTCCAGAAACAAACACTTCATAAATTTTAAATACCTTGCCATGTCTCTGAAAGTAATGAATTTTCTCATTGTCTTGCATCATCCTGCAACACAGTGTATGTGCATTCAAACTGCCAAAGCACAAGGTTAGTGACACCGGCAACTTAGGCCAAAGACAAGCTGTAAAGTGCTTCCTTTAAGTGAAAAGGTAAAGGTTCTCAAAAAGGAAAACAAACAAACAAAAAAAACTCGATACTAAATACATGGTAAGAAAGAAACACCTGAAACGGTCAAGAAAAAGAAAGGTGCTCGTTTTGCTGTCTCATCTCAAACGATGACCGTTATGGCCATGGTGCATGGTATGTGATTCATAATGATGGAAAAAACATTAAATTATAGGACTCAGCACTGTCTGCAGTTTCAGCATCCATTGGGGGTCCTGAAACATACGCCCTACAGGTAAGGGGGAACTACTATATACCCGTGCAATGGAAAACTAATTGCGAATAAAAGGGAATCTAGTACTGCTCTATGAGGAGCCTTGAAAAGATTATGCTAAGTGAAAGAAGTCAGACACAAAGTCCACATACCAGTCCATTTATAGAAAAGCTAGAACAAGCAGGTCCACAGAGACAGACAGCAAAGGAGTAAGCAGTGCCCAAAGGCTGGCCGGATTTGGAAGTGAGATGTGGCTGCAAATACTACTGACTTTGTTTATGGGGAGACGAAAATGTTCTAAAATTGATTGTGGTGGTGGTTGTACAATTCTGTGAATACACTGAAAACCACTAACTGTACACTTTAAAAGCATAAGCTGTATGGAATGTGAATCACATTTCAATAAAGGCATTTTTTAAAAGTGAGGAACATATAGGACATCACAGAAAAAAGGGAGTCACACAAGGGTTTTAAATGCCTGAAGAGTCTAGAATTATCTGGGGGGAAAAAATCAGAGGTTTAAAAGTGAAGATTTACTTGGTAAAAATGCTGTATGCATACTTTGACTCTTCTCTAATAACATTATTCATGTAGTTTGAGTACATTCCTAAAATACACACCAAAATCACACAGAAGAGGGAGAACAGGAAAAGATGCTGTGATACAAGTTTGACTAAGACACAAGCTGTGACTATTGGGGAAGTTGTTTTGCTTCAGAGCTAAATGCCACAGATGGGTGTATCAGCATTGGATTTATACAAAATCATCAGTGTCAAACTTCAAAGGCCATAATGCTCTAAACATATTGTACAAATGGTGATGACAACTGACCTGTCACATTTTCAGGGTGAAATAATGAACAGCATATTTGTTGGTCACTGGATGGCAGTTGTCTGTCTATGAGGCTTTTTTTGTAAATGTCAGAGACAATGTAAGGGCTATAAGAATCTCCACTAACCTAAAGTTTCTCCCACCGATGTCTATACATTTAACTAAGTTCTAATTTAGCATTAAGATTCTGAGAGTTTTAATATGGACAATGAGAGCCAAAGAAACAGATCGAACACACAAAAGCAGCAAACATAAATATACATGGTTACGTATATACATATTAAATACCTAATACAAGGAAAAGTGAAGCGCTCAAAATTAAACCTGAAAATCACCAACAGAGGAGGAAGAACTGGAGTCTGTATTGGGTTCTACAACATTGAGAAGAACAGTTTTAAAAAGGAATAAATCATATTTAAAATAGAAAGCTCACTCCAAGAGAGCAGATGAGGAAGCTTTAACAGAGGTACTTTGAATACATCTTTGATACAAGCCAGCCCCTCCTCTGAATGCTAGAAAAGAAAAGAACCCTTCAGGCATTCCTGGCACACCCCCCCAGAAGCTGGCCTGAAGGTGAGATCCCACCTGCCCCCAGGAGGTGGGGAGATGGAAGGAACACAAAAGAACTTGGCTGGAGAACCCACAGACAAGCAAACTAATGTTCCCCTTCCTAGGCACCTCACCGGCCTCCTTACAAGTAGGTTAAGTCATAAGGAACTAAAGGAGACGTGATATCTTTTTAAGCTCCCCTCTGAAAATGAGGAGGGCCCATCTGCCTCCATAAGGGCTTTTCTAAGTTCCAGAACTAAGGTAAATTTCTGTTCTGAGTCTGAAAAAATGAAGGAAACTTAGACAATAGTTCTCTAACCAACAATAAAAGCAAAGTAGAAAACAAACTTTGCTAAAAAAGAAGCCTTATCACTGACATCTAGAATAAGGTGTCTGCTATCACCAGTAAGTAGAGCAGGACTGTTTCCCAATTATAGGCCAGGGTTTATACTAAAAGAAAAAAAAAACAGTATTCAGTGGGAGCAAGTAAGGGCTTATTTGACATCATTGACTACTGTCTATTAAAAGAAATTTATCCAACAATCCTCAACTGTCTACCCATTTCCAGAGAATGGTAAAAGGCAATTGGCAGAGAGGATCTCACTGTGTAGTCCTGGTTGTCCTGCTATTCCTTATGTAGCCCAGGCTGGCTTTGAACTCTTGGCAAATCCCATCTCAGCCCCCCCATACACTAGGATTATACAGGCCTGAGCCTCCATGTTCAATTTTGCTCTGCTTTGCTTACTTGCTGTTTTTTGGATAACTGTTGAAGGATATGGTCTGCGTGGTCTAAACAGTAAGTAAACTGATACAAGGTAAAAGCAGAAACGCAAAAGTGCCACCATCAGGGTAAAGAATAAGAAAGAAGAAGAAAGAAGTCCTAAAAACAGGGTGGGGATAGAAGTCAGTGGCAGACTGCCTACCATAAACAAGGCCCTGGTTTTGAGGAAGAAGAGGGAAAAAGAAAAAGAGGAAGAGTCATCTTGGAAAAGGAATTTTTTATAGAATTAGTCAATATCATGGGACTTAAAATATGATCTATAATCAAGAACAGAACAAGAAACTGGTCAGCACCTGAAACTGGCCAAGTAGACCTAAGCAAAGGGAATCAGGATGACACCTATTCCAAGAAGTAAACAACTAGTTTTCAAAATCTGATGGGGGGGAGGTGATGTGCAAAGAAAATAATTCTTAAATAAATACACACAACTTGCCTTAGGAAATTTTCTATTTCTGAAGAATTTTCATCAATAAATTTACCTTTTTACATGATTCAGAAAATTTACATCAATATTTGCCATAGCTATTGTTTTAAGCTATTCTCAAGAGCCTGTGTGATAGTCTGAAATCTAAATGAGAGTAGATTCAATTTTTTTAAACCCTCTCAGGCAAAACTACAAAGCTTACACAGCAAAAGTAATATAAAAGACACTATCCTGAAGACGAACCCACATTTGGGAAACTTTTTTTCTACAGAGAAAATAGCATATAATGTTCAGACTCTACAATGAACTTAACAAGTAATCACTGGAGGCCAGGTGTGGTGGCCCCAGCACTTGGGAGGCAGAGGCAGGTGGAGCTCTATGAGTTTAAGGCCAGCCTGGTCTACACAGTGAGTTACAGAACAGCTAGGGCTACAGGTAGACCCTGTCTCAAAAAAAAAACAACAGAAAAAAAGTAATCACCGGATACCCTAAGTCTTATCTACAGTTAACTGTATCTTATATGAGCAAAGCTGGAAAACAAATTTTTTAAATGATAAAATTCAATTCAAACCATTAATTGTTCTGCCTGTGCCTCCTCCAAGCAATATTCTTTAAATTAGAAGTTATTTGATTTCAGTTCTCAAATTCATAAGTCCAAACCTAATCTAATTCATCACATAATTAAGTGTGATGCATGTGAAGGTACTCAGTTCAAGCGAGAAAGTGAATCTGAACCCCATCAATACATGACATCCGGGAGAACGATCATCTGTACCGCCACAGGAGAGAGCAGCAATTTCACAGAAAGACTGAGAAATACCTGAGCAGAAAAACAGCCCTGTCAATATCACCGAGGTCTTCATCAACGGTCAACCTCTCTATTTCTTCTGGTGTCTGTCAAGTATAAAATACAAATTAGGTGTACAAAACATTGGTTAGTCCTGCCTCCTGCCTCCCAATGGCCCTCTAAGTGCAGATTCATGAAAAAGCTTTAAAATTACAGTAATGAAAACTAATCAAGAGGCTGGTGATGCTACAATCTTATCAAACACAAGTCTCGAATTGGGTACTGGGGGACGAAGAAAGGGGCAATCGGTTTTATTCTTTTAACTTCTAGACTGCACAACCTTGTTGGAAGCAACTTCATATGCATATGAAATACATATATCACAGATTTGCAATATATGCATATATATATATATATATTTTTTATCTCCACACAATACCCCAGGACTCTCCAGCATTTTCCACCCCAGGAAATGCTTTAAAAGGGGGTAGGGATGGAGACTGCGAGAAGGAAAAAAAAAAAATGGGAATCAGGAGTGCTGGATTGGGAAGAGAACAAACTCCGACAGGAAGGGAACCAAAGGTTCGAGACATTTCGGGAGGTGGGGAATGGGGGGAGGGCAGATGCTCCAAAGAGCTATTTATTAAGGAACTGGC